ATATTATTTAGCGTATGCGCGCGACGCAACGACGAGAGGTGAAAGCAATTTGGTCGCGAAAACGATATTTTTTATGGATGTCGACGGATAAACAGCAGTTCGTTAAATGAATTCGGACCGGCACACTCTGTAACTGATTACGTTCGGCCGGTTTCGAGTCGCAACGCGGGACTAATTACCCGCAAACTATTATTACATCCCATTAAACAACTATTCCGCTGCAAACTTTCCGTCATCGTTGGAAATTGGAGTGGCGCATTAGCCGCTCCGCTGAACTGTTTTGTTTCTATTATCGGGTAACGATCAATCGTTCCTTTCCAACGGGTTTAATGTTTGTTCGTCTAGGATCTATGTGTGTACACAATGACTCACGAAATTGATCAAGCGTTTCGACATTTTTGGAAACTGTAATGCGTCGTCTACAATATGCAGAGTAAGCTTGCAGTGTAAGAAGGAAAAGTAAGTGGTAAGAAATTGACCAATTACATTCGATCATTCTTCTGCATTCTTCTCGCATTTGACCGTGACTAGTCAATTTCTTACTCTTGTTTCTTTTATACCACGCACTTACTTCGTATATTGTAGATGACGTACAACATTGACGTTTCTGTGCAATTTCTTATACACTGTAAAAAGTAAGTAGGCGTGGATTCAACATGCGGTGTCTGCATAACTCTCACTGTGTTGGTGTTTATTAACACCAACATGGTGTGGATTTCAAACCCCCGAAGTTTATATCAGCACCATCATGGTGTGGACTTATATATGGTTACCGTGGTGTTAAATTTACATCACATTGATGTTAATGTTATCATTAGCACAGCGAGAATTATACAGTTACTGCTACTTTTCAGAGTGTATAAACGCTTAGAAATTCATGAATCTCCAGGAAATAAGTCTTTTAGTTTAACTTCCGTTCTCATTGTCGAACACACAGGCGTCATAAAAAATTCCATCGAGGGTCCAATTATAAAGTCGATTCGCCTAGCTCGCTACATTCGTGTCGCGTCTATTCGCGCATCTGAAATACCTCGGCTCGCGATCGTTTTCGCGCTTAAAGACCGCCTCTCGTCCGGCGCAGAGATCAGGAGGAGGGGGATGTTTGGCGAGGGTGGCAAGGGGTGGCTCGACCGAGCGAACCGACCCAGGGAGGCCGGGGGAGGACGAGGGTGCCGCGACGTCGTGCGCCGGGGTTGCACAGGATGGGATTTAATCTGTGTCCCGTTTCACGCTCAGCCAAGTGGAACCTTTTTGCCTCACTTTGCGGCGCGACTCGCTTTTGCGCCGCACCGCCGCGTAGATTAACGCGAAATTATATATAAAGAATGTGTGCGGCCGGCGCGGCGGGTGTGTGCACGGGTCGACAGCGTCGGGCTCGGGCGATATTCGAGCCCTCTCACCGACGATCATCCCCGTCTGTGTCGGGGGTGGTCGTCCCCCCTGGGGAGGAGGAGGTGGAGGAGGAGGAGGAGGAGGGCGTGAGGCAAAAGACGATGACAGAAAGGGTGAATCTCGCGCTCGTATACGTGTATACAGCTAAGTCGTGCACACTTGTCCCCTTTGTAACGAATTAAACTTGTGAAAAACAGCACAGACTCGTGCGCCGTCCCTTCAAAGGACGAGAGGCCGTCGCGACGCGTCCTCGCTTTCACCGTCGCCTATTTTTAACACAAATTATTCTGTCGAAAGGATCAAGTGATTCAGAAGAGTACGAGACAAAGTTTCTTCGAATAGTATCTTCGGATAGTCTCTATATATATATATATTTGAATAGATTTTTATCAAATAATTAAAATATGAAAATTAAATCGCGACACACGAAATAAATTAATGATTTATTGCAAGAGGCTTTATCTTTGGTATGTCGTATTATAATGGAGTGATACGGTATACACACA